TATTGTCGCCTATGGTTTGGTATTGTAATAACTCATTTGAATACAGAATAATATTTTTTTCTACTAACAAAATAAACTATTACACTTTACAACTATTGAAATCAAATGAGAAAACCCTAACAATATATACTAACATATAAGAGCCCTAAATACCCTAATGTAGTAGCTGGTAATGACCTCGGGGATGATCAGAAAAGCACACGTATTTGCAAACAACATCGGGTACACGTTGTTGTCGTTCTTCAGCCAGGTATACGCGCTGATCCCTACGTGGCCTATTGTGAAAAATAGTAAAAGAGCTTCGGTGATGAGCATCATGTGCCAAATCTTCCTCCTATCCTCTCCCTCCTCCTCAAAGTAATAAAACCAACATGCCTGGTATAAAACTCCAGCATCCAATCCACGTACCACGTACTTCCGACACAAACACGCTAGTGAAAGTATCGAAAGCCATGGTACAAACAGCTGCATACACTCTCTCAATCTGGCAGAATCGCTTGTTGTTGTCCGCAATCGTGTCTCGATTGCGGCAACAACAAGTATCCACGTCAACTTAATAAACACACAAAAATAGATAAATTAATATTAACTTATAAAAACATAAGTATTTTAGAAATTGTTAACATATATAAACTAACTAGTTATATTGTTTGGAATAGACAAACAATAATACAAAGTCCAATGGACTTGTATATATCTAGTTGAATTGAAATATATTGGTATGGGCTCTAAATTTTGGATGAGGCCCAACTGCCTAAAATCAACCGGACAATTTCTACGGCGGTAAAGCCATTCTCCAAAAAAACTATTTAATAATAATTGGAGTTATTATTAAATATATATAACTTTATGCATACATAGAGATCCATCTAAAAAATACATAATTAACGTGTAGTCATCACAGTCTAAGGAATAATACTAATTAATATCACTGAAATTAAAAAAAAAATATTAATTAAGCATTTAATTCACCATTGCAAATATATTAAATTATATAATTAAGTATGGACTAAAGTTTTCGTATATTCATGGTGAGTGGATGTGTAGTCATCAGTCATCACAGTCAAAAGGAATAATACTAGCTAATTAATATTACTGAAATAAATTTTTTTTTTTAAAAAAGCAGTTAATTCATCATTGCAAATATATTTATAAATTATATAACATATGGACTAAAGTTTTCGTATATTGTGGTGAGTGGAAGAATAATGAGAAAATAAGATATATGGATCGGAAGAATACAGTACTTACCTGTTCAATTAGCATGAGAAACCTCTTCCATGGAGTTGGAGGGACAAACAAATCATTGTCGTCGGATTCCTGATCACCATCTTCATCTGCAACCTCAATTATGATGATGTCATGATCTTCATTGCCGCCGGCCTCATCTCCAACCTCAGTTATGATGATGTCATGATCTTCATTGCCGCCGGCCTCTTCTGCAACCTCAGTTATGATGATGTCATGATCTTCATTGCCGCCGGCCTCTTCTGCAACCTCAGTTATGATGATGTCATCTTCATTTCCAGCTTCACGGATCAGTAGTTGTTGAATCTCATTGGACATTTCTTCCTCGTCTCCATGCATCTCTGGTTGTTGAATCTCAACAGACATTTCTGCTTCTCTCTCTTTCTTTCTTTCTTTTTTTCTTCTTTTTTGCTAAGCTTTTTTCTCAGTTATGAATTTTGATACAGCTAGTGTCACTATTTTATATGGACAATATATAATTAACTTGAAACATACAATATTTCTCCATAGCTTAGCTTGCTTGTTTGGAAATGCATATATATCCTCTTCGGGCAACTTCTTTATAAGACTTATTGACCACCCAATTAGCTACAAATTAAATTAATTACCACCGTACCAGTTTTATACTTAATTTTATATAATTTTCTGAGTTTTGTACTTTAATTAATCACTCGAGAGGCCTGTATTTCATAAGTTTGTAATACCATAATTAATTTCTGCAGTCGTAGGATCACATGATGGTGTCTTAAAAAAAGAATCACGTGGATGATGTATGAAAAATAAAAATAAAATCAAATGGATGATTTTTTTATTTTTTTTATTTTTTTGTGAAGAGTATCCTAACTAGTAATGATTTTTTTTCCAAACTTTCTCGAGTCTTGTTATTAATTATATAAAAAAAAAGGAATGTATTATATTGAGTGTTGACAATGCATACATATTAATTATTATGCCCCAAAAAGTACAAATAGGCACAAGTTGAAGGTTCAAAAAGCAAAAAACGTATGCCATTCTGGTCTTCACTTGCAGTCTGTCACCTTCGGAGGCAGGTTGAAAATTGATGTGTTGAAATTCTAAAATATTGAGCGATGCTGACTTGCGATTATAAAATTGATAAACCCTCGGATATTATGGAATCGATCATATATCAATATTTACTGATTTATCCTCATGAAAGCGATCTATTCCACCTGGGTCCCTCCCTATTGGTCAATTGTATTTTTGATTGCTGAATATGTTAATTATTTGTGTTTTTTTCAAACACTTGAAAGGATTAAAAGTTTTCTACTTCTCATCCATACCATCTATACTTATTTACAATAATTCTAAAGATGTTCATTAATAAGTTTATTAGGTTCCAAATTGGGCTGAGCCTCAGTTTTACTCCAAATTGGGCTAGCCCTTGGCCCGTAACGGGCTCGTGGGCCGCCCACCAGGCCTGGTCCGCCATTAGCCCACATACTTTAAGTTTCTATTTTTATGAGTTTTTTTTATTTTCATTTTCTTCTAATAAAATATCAAAAAATACATTAATAAATATGTATCTTTCTTATATAATAGTTTGAAAATAATTTTAAAATTTCTAAACTCATTTTATTTAATTGTATGATTTTTTTTTTTTAAATTATTATGCCTTGGGCTCGTCGGGCCCGTCAAAATAGAATGAAATGAGCTAAGGGGCCGGCCTGGTCTCATGGTGTCGCTCCCTGGGCTGGAACGGGCGGGCCCGTGAAAACAGTGGGTCAGGTGGGCTGTCCCCGCGGGCCAGACGGGCCAGACCATCTTCAATGGGACGCGGCCGAGCCGGGTGTTCACCACTAATTTAATTCTTCAAATAAGTACTTATCTTCAAACAAGCCTCCTACAGAAATTTAAATTACTCTGAGTATTTAAAAATTAGGGGCTCTTTGATATAATCCCTCAATACTTCTATTAGTAGAGAAATGTCCAAATTATTTTGCACCATTTGAGAAAAACCCACTCCAAATTCCAGTCACCCATTTTTTCATTTATGTCCCTTCACCTTACACATACCCATGACCGATGAGCCCTCTATCCCCATGGCCCATAGCCGTGTCTTTCTCTCTCTCTCTCTTTTTAATGTTTTTTATATTATTATTATTTTATTATTATTATTAATTATTATTTATTTTATTTTATTTTTTTATTTTTTATTTTATTTTTTCGTTTTTTAACTTTTTTTTTCTCTATCACGTATGTTCCTCGCCTACGACGCATATTAAATCGACTATGATGAATTATAGTCGATTAAGGAACCGACTGCTTA